ATCTCGACTCTGCGATTTATTCATGTTTTGAAGGCAGCGTAGAACAAGATTTTCAAGCTGGCCGGCAATTCTGGAAAGTAAACCTCTACACATCATAACTGAAGATTTTATTGCAAAAATAAGAAGCTCATTTCTGCGGAGATATAGTTTTAACCCTCTAAGTATTCTCTTATGTGGAGTCGTCTTCTCCTTTTTACCTGTGCGAGGTTTCAGTACGTCGAAAAGTACTTGACGGCTGGAGGGTGGAAGGGGAAAGGGGAGAGTTTTGTGTTTCAGAGGGTTCCCCATCATTACGGATTCTCCACTTTCTGTTGCTAAGGGAAAATTGTGTGCTCCTGGTGGACTACGTCCAGAGCGAGATTGCTAAAGGAATCTCCCACGGAAAAATCATGATTCTATTTCAGCCATAAATCACTGGCTTGAGACCCATCATCCACGATAAGAATGAAAAGAACAAAAAATTGCTGTTTGTTTACTTACGCAAATAACTCGAAAAATCGGAAGGGTTTTCAAACTCCTGCCGAATATCTGTCACAAATATGGTGACGCTCGGAATGCCTACATGGAACTCTTTTTAGCCTTTCCATTCTTTCGATCCGTTTATTTCCATTCTGAAAGTTCGAACGCTTTGACCCGATTCTTTCATGCGTCGCCTGATACGTGGCCGCCCAAGGCGCACTTCTTTCCATGCGTTCCCTTGTCTCCGCCCGACCTACCTTCGACCGTCCATAGAGTGTGGTTTTCGTAAGTTTGTTTCTCTTCGGAAACTGAATCTTCATGCGTGAAACTTTGTAGTTGTCTCCAGTGATCACAACTGACATATTCATGTTGGAAAGAATGCAAGAATTCCCCTGGGACAGTTCTTTCAACGTTTGTATTATACAGGGGGGCCAATAAAAAAAAGACATTTTGTCTCCAGACTCAAATGGATTTAATCACACTTTGCTCAGCTCAAAGCGTGTGCTCCCAACTTAGAATTGAAGAGCGCATTTCATTTCATAAGAAAATCTTCATAGTGGCCATCTACGTGGACGGCATCAGAAAAATTTGCCCGGAAACATGGTGCTCTGGTCGAGCTCAATGGGGTTCTCGACTGATCGTGTACCGTTACGACGGGTTCCGAAGGGCGGGTTCCGGGGTTTGCATAGTTAGAGCTAATGTCCCTAGGAAACTATCCCACGTTGAATCGATCCAAGAAATTATGTAAGAGCTTCAGGCTGAAGCAGTTACTGTAGGCCTCCCTGAGCTCGACGACGGTGACAGATGACGTCATATTCTGAAGACGGTGAGGGTAGTGAAGGAGGGCCTGCGTGTACTTATAGAGGGACATTTAGGGAATATTTTGCTGAGGAACTTCCGTCAACGACGGCAATCTCTGCGAAGAAAAAAAGGCCGAAGTGCGACATGGGCAAAATGTCTTTTTTTGGCCCTCCCTGTATGAACAATCGAGTAATTGCTATAATAATTAACCCTTCCCCTCACCTTTAATCAAAAGCAGAAAGCACCCAACAAGCCTGGTTCTGCAAAGACAACTTGCAAACTCCCATAGAATGCCCTACGTCCTTACTCCGACAAATGCTGCACTACTGGAGAAGCTATGGAACCTTGGCTCAAGAGCCTAATGTTTTTTTTTTGACTTTTCAACTGAATTGCCTCTTAAGAGATAGTCAAAATGCGTATCTCTTGCAGTATCTCCTGAATAAAATCCGTAGGCAGTAGGCTGAGTCAACATTTTGTAGAATTTAGTTGTGCAAAAGCGAATTAATATTGTCGCTTCTTTTCTACACGATGTAACTCATATGGTACTTTTTAGCGTGCTTTTGGCAACAATTTAGGCCGTTGTTCTCGTCACCACATCTTCAAAAGAAAATGTGGCTCTTTTTGTGCAGACCCTAGTTCGATCCCTCTATCAGACGCGTGACGCCTTTTAAAGAGTTGTCAACTGTTTTGCATGTGATCTGGAATCGGACCATACAGGTAATGCTGTATACAATGCGAGGTGCGCAAATCGTGTCGGATTATCACAGCCGGCCGCCGACAACCGCGTCCATGTAGTGCTGCCGTCATCGATGTGTTGGATCATATGCAAATGCGCTTATGTGCCTGTCAAAGCACAATCGATGTTCTCCGTGTGTATAAGTGAATCAGATTATATAGGTGGAAATTAGAGTGCTAGCGGTAGTTGAGTTACCGGTTCAATGTCAGCTTGCAAAGTACTTCGACTACTGCAGACGACATGATGGGCAGAGCAATATAACTGGGAACAGCTTGGAACGAGGTGGCACGATTGCACCGCGCCTTGCGTGAAGTCTTCACAGCAGTCATGTCAACGTTTCTGAATCTGCCTATGGCTTCCTGTCTTCTTCTGAGTTTAAGGCTTTCTCGCTAACATCTTCCCCCTCTATTGTGACGTTCTTTTCCCTATATTATCATCCTTGTTATACTTCAGAACTGAATATTGCTCTATGGCGGCAGCATTCTATCATCATCGATCTCCCTTCCGATTTCCATGAATCCTCCAAACCCCATGTTAACGATAACCAGGTACCAGCCTTGTACCCTCGCTGTTGTTGTTTATTACCTAAGCAGCTGCAAAAACATGCGGATTCTGTGCACACGCTATGAAGTGGAATGTTGACAGTGGCTTTATCTGAATACCCACGCTTCTTCATTGGATACACAAACAAGCTTTTGAAAAGCAAGGAAAAAATGTTTGAATAACATGATGACATCCTTACCCAACGGCTCGTCTTCTTCGAACATAAACACGCGAACATATCAGCCTTTTGATGCTAAGAATCCGCTTTCATAAAAGCGTCTAGGAACTGTTTGTCCTACCGAAAGATTTCTTCAGAATACTACATGTAGACCTTCTTTGTGAGTCTTCGAGACCCAAGAACCAATTTAGAATTTTAACAAGAATCTCATAAAGCTCAGATTCACAGGTAAGGCGTGAATTTGAAATTAGTCAAGATTTCATTAGAAATAGAGGAGATAATGTCACTGTTTTATTTATTACTGATAAAGAATTCTAGGCGCCATGGTCATTCAAGAAGAGATTATAGATCTTTGTGTGCCTTGGAATGCTGATCTCAATTCTAACTTCCATATTTGCTAAACGATTTTTCTAAACAGAGTATGAATCAAAAAGCGCAGCGGTATGTGTGGAATCGTCTTCTCGTGTATGCTCTTTTGCTTTAGCAGTACAGTTAATTGGCTTCAGAGGTCGTTTTAGCCGTATTTCCGAAAAGGCAAGACAAAAGAAGGTGGAAGGAATCGTTCTCATGACGTCTCGACTGCGGATCCCAACACTACTGTTTTGCTCCTAACTCCGTTTAGAGAACCGTGTAGCATTTTGAAGGTAGATTCGGGATAAGCGTTTGAGTATACATCTAGTGGTACACATCTCTTCTTGAATACCATGGCGACCTGGGATCCTTTCCTTTGATCCAAAACTTTGTGTGATCAATCTTTTGATGGCGCGTCAAGTCAGTTCTGTATAAAGCCGTTAAGGTAAAGCATATCATTTTCAAGTAGAATTCTAACAAAGATTCTTCTCTCGTCATATCCGAAAAATCGTTTTTGTGTATATAAAAAGCCAGAGTATATGTATGCATAGAAAATAGTATTCCTGAAAGTTTCTGTCTATATCTGAACGGTTCCCCTTGTTAGACCTTCAGTATGTTATCGCATGAAAGATTTCAAAGCATTCTTCCATGGAAGTATTGTCATCTGATTCCTATAACCCTATTTCTGATTTTCTTCTATGATCTACCTCCCATGGGTGATGCGACCTTACGCTAGAATTGACCAATTGCTCATTTTAAATACGGTTCTCCGTCGATCAGGTTAAAGAGGCAGCTTTTAGTGGTGAACGTTTCGGTGAGGTTTCTTTGAGAACAAACCATTCTCTTACTGTATGCATTCAGAACAGGCCTGTTCGTACGAGCTCCACTGTGCTGCAGGTAGTAGAGTTGAAGCTAGAGCTCGTCCAGTGTCACCAGGGGATCCTGTACCGTTATATGCTCAATATTACCTTGTCGATATCTCCAAGTCCTACTCAACCCACTCGCCCCGTGTTTGAGATCTTAAGGTGAAAATTAAAGTTCAAGAAATCAAACAAACAAACTTACGTGAAACATATCTTTTCCATTTCATTAGATAAACTCTTCCTTTCATCATAATTTGCTTCCAACGGTTTCATGATTAGTGAGCTCCTCCTTATACCATTTTTCACCGATCTATATTGATGATCCAGCTTGGAACGTTGTATACGACTCTCAAATTGTAAAATAATTTTGATCTTTTTTGGCGTAGACGTGGCTATTCCGTGCCGATAACTCAAGAGGTTTTGAATAGAGCACTTCGGCTAACCACTCCTCTCGCCTTCGGCGAAGGATTTTGTGCTCAAAGGTTTGAGTAGGAAAAGTTCGCTAGTGGAGCACTTGAAAATCCGAAGGGCAGATACACAGGACGGCACGTGCGAGTCCGTTCCTTCACTGTTTGCCCCTGAGTTCCTCGGCAACGTTACCTGCCGTTACCGGGTGTTCGTTTCCGAATCCCGCCGCGACCGCCTCCGCTCGTCCTCATAGTGCAGCATAATACAGCAGTCTGTAAGCAATACAAATAGCAGGAACGTACTCTATGTTTATATGTCGACCTTACCGCATTGACTTGTCTTGAAACTTCTCATGCAATTGCCGAGTGGGAAGAAAGAGAGGATTTCCTTCGAATCAGTAGTTTTAATGGGGAGAAAAACTTTAAATACGCACTCCACAATAGCTGACATTTGCCCAAAAGGTGTTATTGTGGGTGGCAGATCTTGATGTCTTAACGACGAGGACTTGGTATGGCGAAGAACTGAGCATATTCACACCGTTTCTCACTGAAGTGACGAAAAAAAAGTTTATCCATGGAGTGATGATTTCAAGTGATTCAGGAGTACATGTTACAATTAGCCTATGATGTGATGGAGTGGGTCGCATGTCTAGACCTTTTCTATGCATTTCATGATGGCATCTCTATATTCCACCAGGCGTGCAATCATCTTGGTCACGCAACCATACGCTACGAGAAACGGCCATTTATACACTTCAGCTGGTATCATCCATTTTTCGAAAAAGTGATTAAAAAAATTATTAAAATTAATCAGTCGTATCCGTCGGTCTGAGCCGTGATCTTCCAAGGTTATCGAAGAGCGTCGACTTGTAGTTATTCAATCTTTTTCGGTATTCCACAACAGCGTAGTTGTTTTCTTGCTGCATGATGTAACCCAAGCGTAATTTTTTGTCTGGCTACGCTCCACAGCTGAAGTCTATCCCACAGAATGTCCCGTTTCGTGGGTGTATCAAAATTGAGCAAAGGTGATTGGGCGAACCAATCCAATACTCTTAAAACCTTAGTCGACGGTCATGTTCTCTATCACACCTGCAAAAGAAGTTCATCTGGAATGGACGATCATTGTACGAAGTAGCCAACACACTACACACGTAGGACAGCGATGCACGCGTTGTCGCAATCGTTACAAGCACGAAGGTTTGTTTTGTCTGTGTAACGTCGTCGTGCGGCGATGGATTATGGTTTGTGTGGCTGTCAGGTGATCATGCGTCATCGATCAGTGCATAGAGCTGCAATTGCCTTTCCATTATCTCAAAAAATCCTAATAGAAGTTTATCTCCTATGGTTAGACCTTGGAAGGACAGAGACATGTATATGTCTCGCAACAATTTGACAAAATTTCTGGGCATCACAACCCATTTGGAAAGCGAATTGTGCTCCGAAAAAGCTCCATATTTTGTTCTCCGAGAGATAATTCGTCTAACATTAGAGCCACTTAACTCAGGTAAGTTGTAGGTTTATTTTCGGTGTTTGTCGTCCTAAAAAAGGTTCACCGAAGTATTTCACTGTATCGGTGATATTTTAGTACTTATAATATTGGCATATACTAGGTAGAAGAGCAGCCGTGGTAATGTCACGGAATGTCTTCACGAAGTGGATTGCTAGTTTTCTGCCAAGATTAACACCTGTTCAAAAAAAAAATTAATTTTTTTTCTCGTGACTCTGGTCTGGGCGAAGAACAAGGAGCCAATAACAAACTAATAGTCCAGGGTTGAATACAGACCTTTCTCTTTGAATGCTTGCTTTTAGCAGACCATTTTAGCCGTATACACTAGTAGACGGTGCATAGCTTTCCCTTGGGAAAAATTTGAAGTCAAAGATTGAACAGGTGCTTGAATACGTTTCACATCCCAGTGACCGAGGATACGGAGCTTCGAATAGGGTTGTCTCATAGTGTGAGATGACTGCCGTTGCTAAATTGCGTTTGAGGCGACATCTAAAGCGTCATGAATGGTTTCGGCGCAGACGTCGAGGGTGGTCGTTTACGATCGTCCTCATCTCGTACCGGGTGGTCTCTGTACAATGTCAGTCGGTGCTGGTCTTGAGATTCGGTTTGTTTCTTGAGCGCGTGCCTCATCTCGCCATCGCTAGAGTCACTTATGTTTTGTCAGTGACATGTTTTGCATGGAATGCGACAAGAACTGTAGAACAAGACTGTCAATGTCTTCATAATGGAACTGCCCAATAGGCTGGACTTGAGAAGGCAAAATAAATCATTGCGTATCAATATATCTTTTTTGAGCAGAACGAGGAATTCCTGGGTCAGCCTCTTAAAACCGGAACCGAATAAAATCAGAATTGCTGACTCTGCTCGCTGCGTACAATTAACGCTCACTCTGGTTTTAGTGCTCATGTAGCCACCTTGAACCATTCCTATTTCAGGTTCAAGAGCAAAAATCCCGAGGATCCGAATGAGGTGCCAAATGGTTTCCTTTCCGACGTGAATAAAGTACGTGTTCATCGCTCTTAGATTTTCATTACAAAGAGAAAAAGGGCTCTTTTTGGGAAGATTGGAATCATTCTGAAAGTAAGAAAAACACTTAGTTATGGTTAGCATAAAAAGCGAGCAGAACTTCTCTTGCTCTGTGTAAGCTTTCACTCTGTAAGGTACCGTCTGTGCGATTTGGCTTTTTCAATTAATATTCCAGCAGGGATAAGTACACATTTTCAATACGAAAAGTACTAAATATACAAGTTCGGGTGGGGCACCTTTATGTCCGGTAGAAGGATGTCGATCTGGGGGCGGCTGCACTTTCGAGGTCTACCTAAGTCGGCGGCAGGCTGCCAGAATGTCCTCATATAGGTCCGTGGTGCACCATGCACTCTATTCCGCTCGGGTGCACACGACCGAGCAAAACGACGTCAGTGTAACTAAGCGATCGGCAAACCGCTATTGAGGAAATATTTCCAGTCCCCAATCTGCGAGGTGATTGAGGTCTGAGGGAGACGCTGAATTATCATCATTAACCAATTTTACGACCATGCTGCACAAACATCCCTGAATAAAGCGAATGTGTGCTGAATGTGCAGAACAGTGGGTCTAAAGGTGTATGTGGAACACACATTCTCTAAGATATGTTTTCTACATTCGTAAAGCTCTGATGAGCCTAGAAAATACTTCCTTACTCATTTCGATACACAATATTTTGATGACCCTTTTTAAGGATTCGCTCACAGTCCTTCACAACGTGCTCATTGATCGATCAATTGCCAACTCAAAGCTCTACGACCGTTTCCAATTCGAGCGTGTCGGCTATTTCTGCGTTGATCCGGACACCGTACCAGGAAAGGTGAGCGATTATTGTTCGGATGCATCTTCGTGTTGCAACTTGATATCTGATCTCCAGTTTCACATGACGTCTTACTCATTCTCTAAAGGCTTATCATACAGTATTTGCTCTGTGGACGTCATCGTTTCGCGTAATAAATCGCATCTCATGAGACAAGGGCTGCAGCATCCGTGATTGCCACCAGCACGTGGTTGGTTGGTCGAATCGAAATCACTGATAAAGCGCTCTGTCATTGACAAGGTCAAGAAATGTTTGATTAAGTTGGGCTAAGAGAGTGGCTAAGGCAAACAAATCCCGAGGTATGTGCTAGCTGTGCCCGACGACCGGAAGCCAATAGATTATGTCGGGAAATGCTGGCGCCGCATTTTGGCGCCACTATTTGCTTCAGTCACCACAGATAACGACTGCTTTCCATTTCAAGAGGTGTACAGCGCAGCGTAATGAGTTGGAAGGTTTTGGCCGGCGCGGCTGTGTACATTGGCGGCGACCCAGGCTGACCGGCAGATTACCAAGAAGAGTTAATGATGACGAGAGATTTTATCTGACAGTATCAGTTCTCCCATATTGGAGTATCCCCGTAGACCTTGACCTCTTGGTTCAGATCCTGCATCCTTGAAGAACGCACGTGTGGAAGCGCGTTGCGTCTCGCTTACCCCTCTACAGCGTAATTATCGGCGCGCATCCTCTTTGGGCATTCCATTCGGCGATTACTGCGATTGCTATCTGCTTTCTTCAAGCCGCCGGATTGTCCTCTCCCCGTGATGGCTGTCACTTTCGGTCGCATAGCGCCAGCAGCATTGGCTTCGATCTTGACAACTCTACTAGGGTTCTCGCTCAGAATAGTGAAGTGTGGTAATTTCCTACCACTCCCACACGCTGCAGCTGATTAGGCTTTGATCTGTTGATCACTGGAACTACTTAGCGTTGACTGAGGTATGCTAGTAAATCCTGTGTGGTCCCCCTTTACTCGGGTTGCGCCAAATGCAAATGTTGAGGCACTTGATACAATTGGCCTATTGATTGTTCTGGTGAAAAATTTCCTCACCTGTTTGAGTGCATGTGACGGTTTACAAATTTATGCTAAGCACAGCCTGCGTCATGGCGCTGGTCGTAAATCATAGCTTAAAACTACACGGCGCGTTCGTGCAAACGCAGTAAACCACTTCGAGCACCGGGCTGTGTTCCCGTGGTTGCAGCCCGTCACGAACAAGTCAGCTGATATGTATCCCTAATATCTTACGCGTGATGGGATGGTTACAGTAACGACATCTCGTCCGTCGTTCTGACGGTGCGTGCTGCACATGCACCTGTGTACACATAGCTGCCGGCATTTGTTCCGCTTGTTCACCATCAATGTTATGAATGGCACTCTTTCGAGCAGCCTTTCATCACTCCATCGCTCCTGATCTACTAAAATTCACATGTGCCGCAGCTGATGTGCGCGTACGAAAATAAATGCTCCGTGATCGCGCTTACAGAGCACGGTACGGTTGACCGTTGCGGTGGGAGTTTGGTACTGGTGTTCCCAACAGACCGCCGAACAGGAGAGGTGACTCAGGATTCAACGAGGACAGGCGCCCACACATCAGACTACGAAAATGTGTGTTTGCAAACTGCGTCATGCATCACGAGTGGCGTCATCATTGCTCTGAGTCATTCGTTTCCTACAGCTGGTTAGAATGAACAACGAAATAGCAGCCGATGAATAGCGGAATGTATTCCGCTTTGCAAGCAGTAGCAAGCACAATGCGAAATGTTGGTATTGAGCACAGGCCGGTCATCATGTGGTACCTCGAAAATCAAACTTTTGAAAATTTCCAGCAGCATGGTTGCGTTCTAACGTTTGGGTGCTGCGCTCGATTTTGTCCCAGCTGTTGTTGTCGCAGTTTGTCAAACACTACTTAGTCGCTATTAATGCAGTGTCAGGTGTTTGCATGCAATTAAGTCATAAATGTAGTCTCCCATCTCGACAGACTAGCGGTGAACGTTCGTCTTCAATGAACCTTCCGCCGGGTTTGATTTCTTTTCACTATACCTGATACTTGATCGGATGAACAGCTGCATTTTTTCGAACCTGCGGCAGAACTATAATTAGTTTTAATCGTCACGATGTGATAGAACGAACAACCCCACTGTAAGTGAGTCAAGCGGGCGCAAACAGGCCATGGTAGTCATTTCTCTGTGTCTGGCGAAGTGGTTCTGGACGGCCGCATTCCTTTCGTGTTTTTCGACCACCGTGACTAAGCGCGCGTGCATTCTTCTTGTGTTGCACTAAAGGTGCTTGCTTAAGAACGGAACAGAGAGAGTTGGATAGAGAAAAGTGCGTGATGTTGCTTTACTTGGACCGTGTCGCTGTTTTTAAATCCATATTAGACCATAAACATGGGAAATGTTCGCGTTTATGAACACCTTTGCGTTTGACGCTCTAGCTGGTACAGAGGCCGAATTCCTGAAAACTACGATCACCCCCACAACTGCACGTTGACACAGTTCCCTTCGAGAGGCCTGTGAAGCGTGAGTTCATGTGATGAAGCGCGGACGCGATCTATTATCTATGCTATGTCAGCATTCAGGTCATAAACTACATGAAGGACAGCGTGACACGCAGGTAACGCTAGTGGTTCTTGAAAAGACACAAGCACGAGGAAAGGCGTTATCGCGATTTTTCACAAATAACATATGCAATGTCCCAGTTTTCGATGAAGGTCAAATGAATGTTAAGAGTACAGTGTCCAGTGAAGCCCCGGAAAATCAAAGGTGATTTCGGTCAACAAATTAAACCTACTGAATAAATCTTTCCTGAATAATAGAATTGTTTAATTTTCGTCTGCCACGCGAAGTTGACCAACCCTGCCGTTTCGGCCTTTCCTTCAGAGGCCTGAAGATAGTTCCAAGCTTTTTGATCTGGTAAGCCCCGACCAAGTATCTCCCCTCCCTAGCGTTTCCGGCGTCGTGTTGGAAAACACTTCGGAATCACCCAATACGATAAAGGCTCATCAAAGGTTCCACCAGTGAAGCCAATGTGGGTGTAGCCAAATGGACCTCACTGACCACACATTTCGTGCTGCCATATTGGTCGAAGACTGTCATAAAACTCGTAACAAGAAATAACATGGAGGCTCTTTCTTTACATCATTTTATCCCCTTCATGTTGTGAGTGCATAAAGCACTAGTGGGCGGAAGTGGTGTAGTGGCAAGTGGCACGCTTACCACGCGAGCGGTCCGGGGATCAAATCCTGGGTCGTGAGTCGCCCGGGCCAACCAAGCCTTCCATCCCTCCGGGGTCGGTTAATTGGTACCAGACTTGTCTGGGAGGATAAAAACACTGACTTGTACATCGGCTGGCCCCCGCAAGTCATTGTATAGGCCACATCGCATTCAAACGCCACTACGAATGTACAAATGGAAGTAGAATGCGTGCCGCATCCCAAAAAGGGATTGATCAACGGCAAATGCTTTATGCTTAATGTCTTTAGATAGGATAATGGAGGGCCTAATCACCATAGGCTCTTACAAAATTTGGTAAATATCTTCGAATCAGATCGCAGAAGAAAACGCAGAAAAAAGTATCTTCGTTTCCAAAGCATAATGCATCCTGTGAAGAGGTTATTTTCAGCTTGTCTTCAACCGCACCGTTTTGCTGAAAGAAGACGCCGGAAAGAACTAGTCGTTAATCTACCATGCTGTTGCTTGTTACTTGTTTAGGTATGTGTTATCGTGGGTAAACGATCGGTTCTATAAATAATTTGGAGTAATTCTTTCATCATTCTCTGTGTAGCAGCACTGGGTGTGTGTGTGTGCATGTATTCGCCCCCAACATCACGTGCTTCTCCTCGGCGCTGAAGGAATCCAGCTGCCGCGTGGACGCATTTGCGTGTGTGTGTGCGCGCCCACCCTGCAAGAGGCATATGCTAAGAAGATGCGCGCAGGTTTACGATGAGCCGTTTTACGCGATTTAAACTGTTCGTCATTTCTGCAGAACTGCTTCCGATGAGGGTGGATTCCTCATCCTACCCTAGTATTGCGCCTATATCCGATTTCCGGCCAGGTAGCATGTTTTACCCAACTTTTACCTACTGGATTGTATACCAGATTTTCAAGCACAACAGCGACACATTCACCTTCCCCGCACTTTCAAAAATTCACATTGCGTAGCCAGCAGCCTTTTTGCCCTGACGGTGGCAAGCCCCCGGGGCGATCGATCGAGCCGACGTCTGTTCATGCCTTGGCGGCTCGCCAAATAAAAACATGCCATCCGTCTAGCCACCCGCGTTTCATCGGGGCCTTTTCGAGCCCATGTCGGCGGTTGACCGTCTGCACGCTTAAGTATGTTCTGCAACAACACTACACATCAACTATTTTGTTTATTAATTTCGAAACAGCGGCTCACACTTCAACGATATGGCTCAACGGGTAAATACGGTGCGAAACCACAGCGAACACCCCATCTATAATCAATTCTTCGTTATATAAATTAATACATTAATACAGAATATGTTACTATATCATCTGATAGAATGAGCAATCCGAGCGGGGACGAAAAAAAAAACAGAAAGAATATGAACTAAAGTTCCCACTATTATTAGTAATAACATTCATAAACACAAAAGAAAGCGCAAAGATCAGCTTTGCTTGCAGAAGAGCAACGAGCCATACATGATTTGTTTCTGTAGGATACATAGAAGATACACCAACAGATGCATCATTTAACATTCGGCATATTCATCAATATCGAGTACATACATCCAATAGTAGCTCCCAATAAAAACAGCTATAATAATGTATGACATCAAAGTTTTATAAACAATCTCTGGGGGGAAGGGGAGGGAGAAGAACCGAGGGGATTGGGGCAATAGTAGATACATGGGGAGGGGGTGAAAGATATGTACAAGCGATTATTAAAGAGCGAGGAGACACGCACACTAGGGAAGAGAGCATCGCACTTAGATGATTATGTACAAATTTCGGCACAGAGAGCTGGATAGAAAGATTCGAGGGTCAAACTCGGAGACGATGAGATAAGGAGACAGACGCTACAGCGATCTCTGAGCAAGGCAACACGAAACCGGGGAGGCGCAACGCAGAGCGGCGCGCAAGCTCATTATAGAAGCATGGTACGCTACTGCACAAAAAACGTCTAATACGTCGAAAGTGGAGACTCGTCGATAGACGGTGGTGACGGTGTCGTTGTGCCATAACCGGATGATCCAGATGAGTGCGCTGACGCAGTACACATGGAACCAAACGAATCTTTCCGTTCAGCTTGCTGATCTCGAGACAAGGAAGTTAATGGCGAAATGACAGCAGCACTCTGTGATGCTATCGATGCAGACGACTGACTAGCCACATTTACATGTGGAGCAATGGCGACAGTCGGACGTGGTAGGATAGGATAGCGGCGACAGGGCGAACCAATTGGACCGCCAGTGAGCAAACGTGGGTTTGTTGTAAATGGTGGTACCTGAAACAAGCAAATATTCTCTGCTCAACATAGACTTCCACTATATTCAACGAACCTCCGGATGCGGCACTCTTTCAAGAGCAGCACCTTCAAAAATAGCTGCTGAGTTTGATGTCGACGTGGAACTGCTGCTGGATGAAGGAGTCAGCAGGAATTGATCAGATCGTGTGGCCGTCAGTGGAACTCGTGGGTGCGCGTGAGCCTGAGCCTCGGTAACTAGACGATCTGGCACGCTAGCGAGTTTATGACGACCCGCATTCAGTTCATTCTTGGCAGCTCCCACTCCTTCGGGTGGCACCTGCATCCAAGGATGCTCGAGAATTTCTTCGAAAGTCGGACGATCGCTGCCTTCTCGAGCAAGGCATTGTCGAATCAGGTCCTTGCATTCTGGAACAAGTCATGTATAGACATCCTCAAATGAGCACAATCACTACTACGGAAACGAACCTTCAGAGAGGTGATTTCGCCACTGTAGATGTCCATTACAGATCTCTGAGTCCTTGCGGAAAGGAATATCTCCGCAAACCATATCAAAGAGAAGTATACCGAGAGACCACACCGCAGCTTCAAGGCCATCATAACGCGACTCTTCGATCCACTCCGGAGGACTGTAGACGCGAGTTCCTAGAACAAAAGTGACATCAGTGGCAGCTGACTGACCTTCCTTGCAAAATGTTTTGCAGGGTAGCTACGGTCACGTGATTGGCTGAGCATTGTCACTGAATCATGCGTGACGACGCGTGAAACCGTACGCGCGACTGAGCGACGAAATACAAAAGGACCTGGCACGAAGTGCACAAAAAAGGAAGCCGCGCACAACTTGTTTGCACTCCAAGAGGGCTCGGTGCTTAGTTAGAAGATTGACAGTGCCCACTGATACCTAGAGGTCAAAATTTTTCTGCACCTCGTTTCCACCTCGAAAAATTCAAATTGTTTTAGGCGTCGGCAAAAGACCATTGCAGCGAGGCTAAACCGGTCCGTGCCCCTCGTAGTGCAAAGGAAACGCCCAGCAATGAACGTCCTTTACAACAAGCATGCTTTGAGCATATATAACAGTTTCACAGAAACACACGGTTCCTTTCCGTTAATTTTTTTATCGAACATGTTCTACCGAGGTAGTGGTCCATTTTTTCAAAACCTTTTTGGTTTTGTTTAGAGTAACCGCCGGCCGAAAACACCGACCACTGGTGATTTCAAACAAAAACCAAAAAGGATAATCCGTACGGTGTTCCCTGCGAAGCTATTGAAGGACACAAAAGCGCGAAAGGAATGTGACCACGCGGGCTGTCTTCCACTGTGCAAACTGAAGCTACCGCCGCTCAGCACACAATCTTTGTCTTGAAGGAAACCTTCGTTGCAAAAATCACCATGCACAAGCCCATTCAAGACTGGGCAACACCATTATGTCCAGCACTGACAACCGGCACTACTTCCTTCATCAGAACCCAAGCGGCAACGCCAGAACTTATCTACAGAAAGCCCAAATGCACAACGATTCATCGCTCCGACTTCATTAAACGCTCATGTAAAAATCAGGCGTAACAAGCTTCTATATTTAACATCGAAGTGCAGCGCTTCTGCCCTGACAGAAATCGCTACGCAACTCGGATGACATCTTCAGAGGATTCCAACCCATCTGAGCAACAATAGCTGAGGACGCCTGGCAGATCCCTTGGTGTATGCGGTAAACAACAGTGATGAGGTCAACGGTCAGTCCATGTAACCCGCGATTGACCCACGTGCGCACTCAAAGCCATAACAACAGGGTGGAATATTTCAAGATAACAATTCGAACGTCGTGAAATGAATAAGTCTACCAGGCGAAGAGCAGTTGTTGTCATGCTGCATCTAGCCCAATTAGCGTCCCCTTCAAAAAAAAAACACCTCACTTGGCGACTTGTCAATTCCTCACTCCGCTCGTTCGTAAACCTCATACGCTGAGACAGCGTTTGTCCACTCTCAATGGTCAACGGATGAGGGCTTTCAAAGCGGGTCGGAGGCAAGCGTCACGTGCTCTCCCCGCCTCACCCCAGCGAGGTCAACGTACGGGGAAGTGGCCGCGATTTGGCCACAAGCCAAAGTTTGCTCTCTCGTGCTTCTCCAATATCGAACAGTAGAAACGCTTCTACGGAACACGCGGATGAAGAACTGACCCATGAACAAGAGTTGCTCTTTCCTGTACTCGCGTCAACCCAACTATTCATCGAAAGCCTTAGCAATGCGTGCTGCGAAGGCTGCCGCCAGCAAAGACCTTGGTACCAGTCAAGGCGCGATCGCCAAATTGATTACTTCAAACGCGGCGATGAGCATTCCACGCCAATGACCTCTCCTATTCTTCAACGACCATGCCGTGAACTGCACACATTGATACTTCGTTGTCAAAGCAATGGAGAAACGAGGTCAGATCAATGGAGCGATGATCATGGTCTAGAGGACTAACAGGCTCAGCTATACTGAATCGAACACAACGCCTATTGCATGATTGGCAACTTGAGAAAGGAGTAGAATTTAATCTTGAGGTAAGGCTGAAGTAAATTGTAACAACCGAAGCATACGTCACGAACCTTCGAAGTCAGTGTAGGGTCCCTCTTTGCGGAAGGCACCAGAACCGAAGTCAATCAATTTGACCAAGCCATTTTTCATGTCCACTACTAGGTTTTCGTCCTTTATATCGCGATGAATGACGTTCACACGATAACATGCCAGCACGGTGTCCACAACCTAGAACAATATATTTTTTGAAGGTGAAGAATGAAATCGGTGAAAGAGCAAAAACAAGGACAAACCTGACGGAAGTAGTCACGAGCCACATTTTCAGTAAGGGCACCTCTTTCAGAAATATAATCGAACAAGTCCGTGGATGGGCTGGGTCGCTCCATTACAATCATGTAACCTTCTGGTCGTTCGAACCAATCAATCGTCTGGATGACACCAGGAATGCCTCGACACCTCATTAGAAGGACGATTTCGAGCGGCACTACTCGTCCATCCATCTAAAATGTATAAAATAGTGAAGGCAATTAACATTGCAGTCTCGGGTTCTTTTTAGCATCGGCAATCAGCTGATGTCGCGCATCACAACTGCGAATCTCTGCATACTCCCCTACGGCGTTTACAGAGGCGTCTGAGTCACATGTCTTAATGGGGCAAACAAAAACAGAAGACCAAATAAAACTTACGCAAGCCCATTCCGTTACGTTTGCCCGCATCACATACTTACAAGCAACAGTAAGATTGTCAGCCATTCGAAAGCCGCAGTAAACAGTGCCAAATCCGCCACGACCCAGCTCAGCGCCAAGCTTGTACTGTCGCTTGAAGCTGGCATAGTCGTGAGCTGAAAAAAAAACGAATTATTCGCAAAATTTAACACAGCAGAAAAAAGCTTCATGGATCAAAAACTTTAATTAGGAAGTTCTGCCAGCTAACATGATGCGCTCCATAACGCCTAGACATCACAGTTTCCCTTTTGCCAACATTATTCTCCTTCTCTAAACCAAAATGAATACGGACTAAGGACCACTGCCCAGCTTCTCACTCGGCTCACTTTTCTTTTGAAAAGCGGATGCTAATGCAGGATAAAGACAAAAAAGAGAGAACAAAAAGAGTTGTAAATAGACTGTGGGACATACTTTTGCCCGTTCATTTCAATGAAACACGGTCAGTGGTGCCAAACAATATAACACTTTTGACTCAAACGATGTCTTCGGAAGAGACTGATCAGACACAACAGAAAACGTGGAAGAAGGCTTGGCAATGATTCCCTACCACAACTCAATATCCAGAAATCAAAATCAATATCTGACCAGAGAGCCAGGGAAGAATGGCCCTAGTCGGCCTAGCAACGTGAGAGTTGCATTGAGCACAACTAAGCAATTCAAAAGGTGAGTAAGGCTTTTGTGGTCTGGAAGTCTACCAGTAGAGGAACAGCACGGAAAAACATAATGCCGACTGGGTTCATATAAGTACCTCTCTAAAAGCCTTAACTTTGGAAAACTACAAGCAACCAGAGAGATACGAAATTGATTTTGCATCAACAAAATAAATGCCAGAGGCAGAAGCAGTGTGGTCCGAGAGTGTAGGTCAACACGCTATATGGAGCACATCATCATAAGCACTCCAAAAGGAGAAACTCCTAGGGGAATACGAAAAGTAACATGTGACCTCAAGTGTACCTTGCTCTAATTAAAACAGCCTGGCGCACTGTTGGTCACACGTAAATAAAAGTTAAGTGAACGGATGGTAATAAACTGGCACTGTAATGAACACACGAACCTGGTCGATCTGTCGTTACTGGACCTCCTATAGCCATCTTCCGAAGACGGCTCATAAACATAGAGATTTCTTATACAGCGGTCACACTTGTAAATTCCAAATGGAAAATGAAATAGTGTGATGGACCAGGAATAATTTATCTGGAAAACAAAACAATAGTATACATGAACGAAATCGAAACGTTTATGAAACGGCTTTGTTGCGCATTCCGAGTAAAGAGTATCACGAATAAGTCGTAAAACTGGAACAGAAAGGGAAATGGGAAGAATACAACGGTCAAACAAATCGATGGAGATCCAGACCGTTAGCCCAGTTGTGTCCTTAGACGCACTAATTAGGCGACGGTTGAGTAGCCGTACCCACCGCGTACATGGCTACGCACTTATCGCGGAATGAACGCAGGCGGTGGGTGGAGCCGTCACGTCATCCACGCCGGCCCCGCCTACCACCACACCCGAATGTCGCCACAGATCGGCAACCTCCGTGCAATCCTGCACAGTGACATGAACGAATGGCAAGCGAGATTAGCAAAAGGAAGAACGGAGGAACTGGGGCAGCGAACCAGCAGAGGAGAAGCTGGTGAGAAGCGCGGCAGCGTCGACAACGGCGTCGGCAGCTGCACAGCGGCGAAATAACGTGTAATAGACAGGCCGCGGCGGGAAAAAGGCCCGAATTAGAGGTCAACCAAGCCCCTTGCATCAATTCGTGCATATTGGTGCAAACCATAAAGGTGAAGATCATGCTCTTATAACCTCCGAAAACGCACATTGCAAACCGCATCCCGCTCGAGGCCCTGCATTTTGATCTAGGCTGCCATCCGTATTGAGATGACCACTCCACCGAAATACCCAACCCGCATGAGACGTATGAGAGCTGCAATTAGTTCGATTATGTAAAGGTATCATTAAGAGGCACGTAGTTACTCTCTACTAAGTAATGAAGCGTCTATGAAGGGCTTTTCCAAGTAATTGCAGCGATGCTTCACGGTTTGCCGTAATGAGCAGCTTTCACAGATATCAGAAATGACATGTGAAGGTTTGCTGTTTGGCTATGAATTTTACTTTTTATCCTAGAAAAGGCATCAAAAGGGGGTAGCGGACAAGGGTAGAATTGAGGATGAGGAGAAGTTGAAGGGATTGGGTAAAGTCAAAAATAAGGCTGGAACTTGTGGCGAACGATGCTGTTCACTTGCTTAGAGGTGGTCCTATTCCTGTCCGAAAGCTGCTCTGGTGCGTTCCGTAGGTTCACACCGACCTAATCAAAACGGCTGCGACTATGACTTAAAGGCACCGAATTAGGAGGTCAAACCAACCCCTTCCATCAGTTGTCATGGTGAGTGCGCAACCATAAAAGTGAAGTCGACCTCGCTAAAAAACGGGCGGTAACCAACCCCCCCCCCGGCCCTGATTTTGAGCTATCGCCGCCCGGTATTGAGCTGTGACCGCCCAACGCTAAAGGAGCATACGAGGCCATAGCATACTCGCAAGGTGCATAGCTTTTCATTATATCTTATCTCAGGCGCGGTTTATTGGTATCAGTATCAGTAATGGTAGCAGCGCAATTGCTGGTATGGAGCATATACGTTCGAAAAACTCGTCCGGATACCCATGCACATGCAAGGCTCCTCCGTTGCCGTAAAAAAGAGGGTTTATTTTTTTGGCTTTGCTGGTTTCTTCCCGTTTTCTCACTGAAGTTACTGTCCACATTTCCACTGTCACGTTCACGCGCCATGGTATCCCTGCTCGATCCTGATTCTTGCCTTAAAGCTCATTGTACCGCTCACGCTTTTGCTGTACCGCTCACGCTTTTGCCCGTTTGATTGTCTTTGAGGGCTTAATGTTTCCCTTTTCTACCCGATCGGCTCGAAACGTGAGAGTGGATCAAATCGTTTGCATTGTTCGTGATGGTGTCGTGTGTGTGCGTGCGTAAGAGATGAAAGAGGTGTAAAAAGTTGCACACCCGGTCTCACCATTGTTTCGTTCCAAAGTCGAGAAACAGAAAAACGTCATACTGAGAATTTAGCGTGGCTGTTCTGACGAACCTTTGGATACCCGGGAAGATGTGGAAGAGAGC